AGTGCGTGACTGACTGAACAACGGGCACAGTGCAAAGTTCCAAGCCCATTAGCGCGCTATATGGGTAAAGGACTTGTAGTGGCTTGGTAGTGAGACCCCTTGCGTATACTTAGCGTGTATGCTTGATGGTTCGGTGCTGCTGTTTAATCAGCTTCCTTTACCAAAGACAAGAGTTCTTCTAAGAGGTGGCAATTCCACTTTAACCGTGGCTCGAGCACCTCTCCTAATTCACCTCTCCAAGCCGTCCGGAGTCCTCCTTTTTGGATTCTTCGCTCCTTTCTCTCTTCTGTGGCATTCTCACACATTCAAATTTCAGTGTTTCGCGAATCCACTTCCCAGCACTTGAGCATTTCTAGCTCTTGTTTATTTANTTTTTTCATCTCAACTAAAACCTTAATTGTAGTTTACAGCTATGCTCTGCGAATTAAAAAATGTGTTAATTTGTTAATTATTATCATTTACTGTTTATATTTGTATTTTTATTTTATTAACTCCTTCACAAGAAAAGGCTATAAAATTATAACATTGTTAATTGTAAGATCAACGAAATGACGAACAAATCAACCTACTTCTTTTTTTATTGAAATTGGTTATTGGCAATAATATAAAAGGAAAAAGTTTTAATAGTTTGTTGTTTCTTTAATATAACAACCATATAATTCAGACACTGAACCTTTACGGCTGGCCCTGGCGCTGGCAACATAAATTTGGTGAAGGCGATTTGTGAGCCACTTGAAAGAACTGATTCATTTCACAGGTTTTGAGCCGATTTTTAAAAACAGCGGTTTTTTTCCTTTCTCTTGTAATATCAATTTCCAGTAAAAACACTGGTAGAGGTCGAAGAATTCGTATTTACAAAATTCTGAGAGTCAAACTAGGCGATTGTGGTATTAAAAGAAAAGTAAATTTATTCAAAGAAAAATTAAGGCCAAAAGTGAAGAGTGGTAGAGGATAATGAATAAAGGATTAAAACACACTTTGGATTAAAAACATTCACAAAAACACTGTCGAGGAAAAAACCATAGAAAAATATAAATTGAATAAATGTACAAATATAGAAGAGATGCTAGAAATTAAAATGCATTCTTCTTGATTTAGACATGCTTACTTACCATAAAGCTCTTTTGATGATCTGGCTGGAAGGCGGTGGACATTTCTCTACCTGCGAATTATGTTGACCCCCAGTTTTTAGGGCCTGGACGACCATGAACAAAAATCCTTCTTCTATTGGCCTCACGCCAACGAACTTAGTGGATTTTAATTGATCTGATATATTTACAAACAACTACGATTTATAGGGCAACCGGGCAAAAACTATGATGAACTAATGTAAGATTGTTAAAGACTATTTTCGTTACGGTTGTTTATATTTGATTCCTTGATTTTTTCTTACTTACCGTTGTATTTCCATACTTTGAACAAGAAAACGACGATCTGAGAAACAAAACGTAGAACTAGTAATTTAATCGGTCACATTTATCGTTTCACTATTATCAGAAAATATACTAGTTTTCGTGGTCCGTTTGACCAATTAATAGCTTTCAATTAATTTAGTTGAAATAAAAAAGTCAGTGTCACGAGCGGGATTCGAACCCACGACTTTCGGTAAGTGGTAGAGTAACGGCGTATCTAGCCGAAGGTCGTGGTTTTTTTTTAATCTCAACTAAAAGCCTCAATTAATTGAAAACTATTCTCAGTGTTGAATCTGTGGATAACCGGGAGAAAAAAGATCGTAAATGAAAAATGAAATACAGACGGTGACATTGAAAAGACACGAGCAAAAATAACACTTATATCCATCACTCACTGATGACGGCGTGAAGCCGAAATGTGACAGATTGATCTCCCGACTGCCTTGAATTTTCTCCCTGATACCTTCGAAAGCACAAGACAAAAAAAATAACCCACAGCCCAACAATTGATGAAACCGAAACGTGTATGACAGGCCAAAAGAGCGAGGATAGGCGGACAAAAATGATCGGAAGCCAACAAAGTATCCCCATCTCCAGTCTTGTCTCGCTGCTCCGTTTAAAAGGAGAAGAGTGGCAAAAATAACATGCATATTAACCAATGATGACGGCGAAAAGCGAAATTGTCATGCAGACCTAACCAGAGAGAATGGATATAAAGTGATTGAAAATGAACAAACAGCTATTTCCCAAATTAATTTATTTCGCTGATCCTTTTAAAAAAACAAGACTAGTAATAAGAATACACATCCCAACCAGTGATGAAGCAACATGCCTAACAGTTTAACAGTAACCAACGAGTTTAACCGGACCAAAATGATCGAAAACGTTCAAATTTTGGCTTCATCTTAAGTGTTTTGTCAAATATTCTTATTTGAACATAAGATTCAGCATAAAAAATACCAGATAAAATTATTCTATTTCATCTAATTTTTATAAATGTAACTTTTTCTAAATGAAATTAATCGTGGGTGAATGAATGTGCTTAAAATGTCTGTGGGAAGTGAGCAAACGCCTCAAACTATTTGCAAACGGTCGAAAATTTTATTTGACCACCAGATCCATTTTATTTTTATTTTAGGCGAAATAATACATTTTTGCATTTGACGACGGTAGAAAGTGATTGAATTTTAAAAGCCCCAACAGAACATACAAATCTCTGAAGGAGCTCTGAAAGTGTTTTCCAATTTCAAAGATGCGCCTAATTTTTGTACTTTGAATGTTAAGGGGCTGTTTTAGGCTTTATTTTTGTATATATATATTTTTTTTTTTCACGAATGTAAAATCACGACTCTGTTGATTGACTGAGTACGTGTTGTTGCCATTGTACGGTCAAGTAAAAGGGGTCAAAACATAAGGAAAAAGAACGTTTTGTGTACACTCTCGTAATCGTGTCGTAAAATGTCGTTTAGAGTCGAGAATTTAGGGTCAACTTAAACGCCACGGGCGACAAATAAATATTTCAACTGTTACATTATTTTTTACCACTTCTCACTCATTTAAATTGTGAATGATAGAAAAACGTTATTGAGGGGGGATGAAATAATAAAATCCAGTATTTTATGGTGGGCTGGTGATATTTTCTTTTTAATTCGAGCCGGTTTACAACGGCATCAGAAATATATAGTTGACCGAAAAGGGGGCCGCGCTGTCCGGGTCGATAGGACTACCGATAAGTATTTGCCATGCTAGAGATTCTCGGTTCGAATCCTGGTTCAGCCCATGGAATTTCAACCGAGAGTGATACAAAAAATGTAGTTTGAAGTGGTTCTGACTCCTCCGAGACACACGACGTGTTGAAACGTTAAGCCCTCTTGTATTACAGGAATGCAGGAAACGATTTACTTTACTTTTAATTTATTTTTTACAATGTAACAATAAGATTTCCTGCAATCAAAAATTTATATCGAATAGGGCACCCAAAGATTCGCTGCCGTACTAGAGCAAAATTCTCACATACCTACTCGCTCCCTATGTGGAGAATTAAGTGGGACGCCTTATATATCGAACATCTATCGAACAAATGCAAGAGTACAACAAATAAGTATTGTAGAATTCATCCTCTACAGAGTATACACCGCAGAAATTTCTACCCTTCCTGAAGCGATTCTCACCCCCTCAAATCCAGGTCACATCCCTTGAGCAGTTCAAGCGGTGGAAAATGACAACAAACAAACAACGAATGTGAACATGTCACTTTTACCCTACGAAAGATTGCTGGACAAACGATCCAGTCTGACTCGACAAAACTAACGACTCATTTTCATTACTATTTTGAGGCCCCTAGTCATAGAGCATCTTGGGGTTCAACAAATCGTTACAACCTCCAACGTATCCACTCCTTACAATCCAAAATTCTCCGAACCATCGTCAATGCTCCTTTACACTCCAATGTATCCATGCTTACTATTCACAATGACCTTAATATCCAATATGTCCTTGAAGTAGCTACAATAAGTTTAACAAATAATTATCCATATCTTCCAACCTTCCATCTCGCACCCTTCCAAGTAATCCTGTCCGACGGCCGAAGCGTCACTGCCCTCCCTATATCCTAAATAACATTGGAAGTGATTGACACTAATATATAAGAGTGTTTAGTAATGACTAACTAGTTTCTATTTTGTCTTTGCATCGCGACCTTTGGCCCAAAAGTCATAGGTCTTACTCACTGGAGGCTATCACCCTTCTATTGACCCGCAAGCGCTTTTCGGACGGCCCAGTCCACTGACGCCGCGTATATTTTGTTGTTACTCCTTCTACGATCGGATTTTATTTTTTTTAACCCAATTTTTATTCAACCTTCTTCAAATAGGGGATACCTTTAGATTCGAATCCCGGAAAGCCTATAAAATTTTAATTAAGAATGGTATAAAAGTAGTATTGTAAAGTGGTTTGATCACTCGTCCGCAACACCCAACGGGTACGATAATTCCGATATGACAGGAATTACTACAGTTGATGAAATGTTCAAAACACTAAATGACAAACATTTTGTTTTAACTCTTGATTAAAAAAAATAAATTTACGGACAAAAGTCATCAAGATTAAGCCAACCATCCGTAATTTTTAGGCAATATACTCAATATCCTCATATATCCCGCGGAATACCGAGTACTCTGCGGTAGTATGAATGCTAACGAGTCTAATAGTTTTTATCGTGTTTCTGTGTTATTTTATCCGTAACTGACGAGGCCCTAAGGTAAGAAGGACAAGCAATAAGATGAACAAAAGGGAGTGGTTTACCGTCGTATCATACAACGTCAAAACTTGGCTGGAGAAACACGTAAATAAATTAGTAGTTTAAAACGGGAGAAAGATAATAAAAGGAAAGCTAAGAAAGAGAGGGCTGGCGGTGACCTATGTAGTAGTACTAAAATGTGTATACTGTCGACATAGTAAATGCAATCCGAATGGATGTTTTTCCTAAAGGATTTGTTTATATTTGTAACAGTTTCTCAATTGTTTTCAATACCTAGGTTGGTGAAAAGAAACGTTCCATGCTATTCGAAACAGAAATGAAACACAACACAAATTTGAATGTCAATTTTAATAATAAAGTAATGAAATACATTTTTTCAGATTTTTTCTTTCTTTAAGGTGTAATAGGTTTTATAACAAAGTAACATACAAATGGTCTCAGCATCTTAAATCTACATATAGGAAAAATACAAAAGGCCTTTCCTTTTTTTTTTTACACAAAACTACATAACATTCATACAAAAATAGAATCATTGTGGACTTGCTAGGACTCGCTCAATTGTATTGTCAGAGGGCATTTTACACTGGTTTTTAAGTTTTTCTTTTTTTTTACCGTTTTATATATTTTTTTTCTCACTAATAATAGTTACATACCTTCAACGATTTTACAACAAATGTAAGAAAGGCTATTTTACAAATAGTGAGATATGGTGAATCCCAATTTTCAAAAATCTCTAGAAAAATTGAATAAATTTTTAAAGAACGGAATTTGTAGTGCTCGACATCAAATTACGACAGCACAAAGAGAGAAATATTTATTTACGAAACTATTTTAAAAACTAATGTTGAGTTTTATTCCCGACAATCGTCGATTTAACGTTCAGTTTGTAAAATTAAAGAAGCTGGTCTCGATAAATATTTTGTTGCGTTCTGCGATCTGGAGGATCGTCGAAGGCGTACAAAATTACAATTTTTCAACAGAGCACAGTAAAGTACAAACCAAGGCCTACTCCCATTTTCTTTGGTAAGCGATATTGAATAGAGCAATATTTATTAAAATATATATTTATATTACATATGCGACGCAGGCTGTCGAAACCTTAACAATCCGTTGAAGTTTCGACCGACCTTATATTTACAACACATCCAAGGATATGCACCGACTGACTAAACCAACTAAAGCTATGAAAATATTTCAACGGTTCTGAAAAAACTATATATGTATGTATAAAAATTTTATATATATATATTTATATATATTAAAACTAGAAACTTTTTATATTATAGCTTGTGTATATATTTATGTACACACACACGTATAGAATTATATACACAATACTAAACTCTACTTAAACATGATCTATGGATTGGCAGTCAATTTATGACACGACTAAAACAAATGAAAATCAACTAAAAAAAATATTCATCTTACTTATCACAAAAAATAAGTCAAAAGGTACGTAACAGAAATGTTTTCACTTTAAGGTAATCAAGCTTCTGGCAAGTCAATAAATCAAACTATCAACAAAACTAGGAGAAAAAAAAATATGAATGCGTCTCGACATTATTCAAATGTGCAAATTAATTTTCTTTTCTTTAAATCACTTCTTTTTTTTTCAAATTCGTGTGGACTGGGCAAGACTAAAAGTGGTTCTAAATTCTAGACATGTACCACAATTTCAGTTCATATAAAAGAATGGCACCATACGTCCACACGTTAAATGTGTATTTATTAAACAAAATAATACGGTTCAATAATATATTATTATATATAAAAAAAACTAAATAAACACAAACTAACCATATTTACATTTATATTTACCTATATTTTATCACATTCAAAAGATATAAATTACAGAACGACTTTAAGTTCTGTTCCGAGAATTTGATCTTCATATCTTAATACTACGTACAATAAAATATTTAAAAGACCTAGACGTTTATTAAGGAATCATCGAGTCACATGTACAAAGCATAACAAAACAAATGTTCTGTAAACCCTCATCTAGGAGTCTTAAAATTACGCAAATTAAATTTAAATTAACGTAAATTTAAAACAAAAGTAAAAGTAAAATTTTTGGTAATACAAATTCATGAGGAACAGTTTTATCAATTATATCAAATCAAAATATAGGACACTTGTCGTGGTATTTCGAAAAACCCTGAGCTTAAAAATTCAAAATGTATACACTGTACAACACGTGGTGTTAAAAACTTTTCAAATTAGTCGGAACAAAAATAATAAATGGGGGAAAAAAATTTTTGTTTTGTTTTTAAAACGCACGTTTTCAACAAGTATGACGTCTTCGATTCTGTTGACGTGACACAGTGTATGCATCGGTAATTTCGTTTAGGAGGTGGAAGTTGAGTAGGTGTTTTGTTTACTTCCTCTTTGCCCTGGGAGGGGCTTTAAGAAGTTTATTAGCACGCCGCTCCGCGCAGGATTTAACGTTGTTGAGTAAGTACCTGAATTGGAGGAGCTGGACGGCGGTGACGGACGGGTCGGAACAACATTCGAGCCATCTGAGGAACCTTTCCCCGTGTTTAACCGCTTCCGCTGCCGTTTCCGGGGGATCGTCTTCGCCGTCGCTCGGCTGCCCCCCGCTCTCGCTCCCTTTGTTCTCTTTCGCTTCGTCTTGGTGGTTGTTGTTGTTGTTGAGGTTGAGGAGGACCGTGTCGAGCGTGGACTTGGTCTTGACCAGGGGCAACGGTTCCAAGCCCGGACTCTGGAAGCCGTAGTGTTTGTACCACCTCCAGAACCAGCTGCTCGTCCCGTCCGGCGTGTACTTCATGATGTCCATGTTCTGGAGCTGCTGGGCCTGTTGGTTCCTCAGCCAGAAGAGTAGGGATTCGTCCAGTTCGGATTTCTTGTTAGCCTCCGCGACGACGTCGAGACGGGGCTTCTTCGCCTCCGAGGGGCCGCCGTCCGACAGGGCAAGTGGCTCGGGAGACGGCGAAGTCTTGCTCGCCATCGCGTGAAGTTTGTCTTCGTTCTTGCACCAGCCCCGTAACGTCGATTCCGGGACACCGATTATCCTGGCGACGGACGCCTTCGACTCCCCCTCGTGCACCCGGTGGATCGCCTCCAGCTTCTCGTGGATGGACAACTGCCTCACCGGCCTCTTCGGCTGCGTCGTTATCTTGGATGCCATCTCGCACTCCGCCACAAACGATAGCCCTCGTCCTTTGCTTTCCTTCAACGGGGGATAAAATCACGGACGAAAGCAGTTAACTCATTGGCGCACTCGCGGGTCGAGAAAAACCACTCGCTCTTCACTAAAGGCTTATGTGGTAACCACACTAGACACTGGTCGAAAAGAACCGATACCCTTGAGGGTGAGCGTGCGACTGGGAGTTGTTCTAGTTAGTAGTTGGTCCGGTGTAGTGGGGAGATGGTGAGGAAGAGGAGGAGGAGGCGGAGTGATGAGGGGGAGAGAAAGGAAGGGTCTTGTCCTTTGTATGGATCAATAAGGCCCCCCTCTTCTAGTGGACAGTACGGACTTTGACGTGGTCTGGGGGGACCGGCATGAGGACCGTTACCAAGCGACCGATCCACTTCTCCACACATCTCGCCCCATCTTACTTCACTCACGCAGACTTGACGCCGCTCGCCCCGTCCAACCCACTCCCCGATTCGCGAGTTTTATTAATTGACCTTGGCCGACTGGGATCCGTCCAGGAAAGTTGCCACAAAATCCACAAAGATCAAGGTTGAGAAAGAGACGGGACCGGGGCGAAAGAAACCACCCCGACATCTCGGGAGAGGGTGGCCCAATAAAAAAAAATAAAAATTACAATCCGCCGATTTAATATCAAAAATGATCCTCATCCACGAACGTGAGACTTCATATCACGATTATTTATTGAGAGACATGCATTGGCGTATTTTTAAAATCTGCTCTTATAAAACAATTGACGTCGCAGCTCGACTCTTTTGCCTAAACGGCCGTTGAAAACAACATCCACCGGGCCTTGACAAATTTAAGCCAGTCCAAGACTTAGGAACTTAAGTAATTATATAAGTTAATTAAAATGAATAACACCTGGTCATTTTGGATAATTTTCTATGAAACGGGCAGAAGTTGAAGAAATAAAAAATCTGATAAACAAAAATGAAAGAAATAGCAGCCAAAACATAAAAGACGATAAGTAAGACTAATAGAAAACAGTGCAGGGGAAAAATAAAGTAGCATAAAAGGTCGATTGAAAGCATAAAATTGAGTTTTTTAATTTCATGGTCCGACTCCCCTTAATACTTTTTTTAGTTTTCGATACGAGGAATTTACTTTGGTTCCATCCAATTTGTATTCTTTGTGATTTATTTTCAATTAGAAAACGTAATTAAAAGTGTGAAATGCTTTCTGTCACTTAAAAGCAATATGTTTTATAACAACATTATCTTTAATTAGAGGTTGAATCTTCCTCCAGTTTCCCCTTCTTACGACAGTGATTGCTTCCATTTCCTTATCAGAATTTTTGCTTCTTCCAATATATGCCTGTTTCATAGCAACTGATGAAAAAATACCTGGTGTTAATGACTTTAATTACCTGGCTTCATTAAATTAATAAGTCTGCTTAAATTGTTCAGGGCCCGTTAGACGTTTTTAAACGGCCGTTTAGGGCAAAGAGACGAATTGCGATGTCAATTGTTTTTTAACAGCAGAGATTATAGAGAAAAATACAGGAATGTCTCAAATTTTGCTTTTTTATGAACGGATTTTTCAGTAGGCCTACCTTATGGTAAAATAACCTTTAAATTTTTTGGTTGAATAATTTTTGAGAAAACCAGGGGACATTAATCAGTTGACACTCTATGTATCTAACGGTTTTATGAAACGATTTACGAACGTTTTTCATCATATTTCATAATATTCCATATATGAAAATGTAGGTTATCATTAAAAAAAGATTATTTGGAGATCGTGAGATGTGGTCTCGTGTGACGTAGTTTAGAAAAACATTTTCTTTATCGTGCCAACGTTTCGATCTTTCGTGAGATCATCTTCAGGGCCTTGGATTTATAAACATTGTTTAAATTATACAAATACATGTAGGATGTGAACAAATGAATTTATACAATGCTAGAAATTTTAGACTCAATCAAAGTATCTGTACACGCTCAAAGAGTTTGTTTTCTGTGTAGATGTGTCATTATTGTGGGGCGTGCTGAGAGTGCCGGTGAGATATTGGAATATAAAGAAAATGTTTTTCTAAAACCTACGTCACACCAGGCAGCATCTCAAGACCTCCAAATAATCATTAACTAACTGTCACTAAACACCACACATTAAAAAAAAATATTTTAGGTAATTTTCAATTTGTCAAAAAATGCAACAACATGTAATTATTGTAACGTTTGAAAGTAGAGCGTATATGTGTAGAGATTAGTGACCGTTAATCGATAGTTATTCAAATATCGTGAGATGCGGTCGGGTGTGATGTAGGTATCAGAAAAACACAAGGATGGCACAATTACACAGAAGACAAACACTTTGAGCCCTGAAGATGATCACAATAAAAGATCGAAACGTTGGCACGATAAAGAAAATGTTTTTCTGAAACCTACATCACACCCGACCGCATCTCACGATATCTGAATAACTAAGTAGAGCGTATACTTAAAAAAATACTGTTTAATTTTTTGCAAGGTTGAATAGTTTTTAAGAAACTCTAGGGGTAAGTAATAAGTAACATTTTGTTTTCTAATGTTTTTATGTACTATTTTCGAAAGATTTTTGGCATTGTATGAATAAAATTTAAAACAGCATCTTGCATTTGTTGTGTTTAGAAATGCAATTTTTCATTGTTAAAGTATGTATTTGTATTTTATTTTTTAAAATTACAGGATAAACCATTTAAACATGTTTTGTATAGAAATAAGTCAAAAAATTGGATTACGCGACCCTCGAATATAAGATAGATCCGTTGTGCGGAGAGAATTTACAGAGAATTTACACACGTGCGCGTGTGAAAGAGAATCAGAAAACTTCGCGTGGAAAGAGTACCCTGTCGAAAATGGGAGGACGCATAGGGGTCCGTTATCCTGCACCCCTATCGTCTTCTCTCGCTCGCCCTCTTCAGTTTGTTCTCGCCGTCTCTCTCCTTCTCCCTTTATGCATCGAATCACCGCTTTTTTTCTCTTCCTCCGGTTTATCCGTAGCCGTTAAGACGGTCCCTCCGAACTGGAATGTACAATATCGCGACGCGGCCAAAAAAATCTTCGCCCAGGGCTTGTAATTCCCTACAACCATTATACTTTTCAATTTGACTTCTCTTTTAAAATTCTTAAAACCGGAAAAATTCGAAAATTTTTGGGCTATGGATTATACAACGGACAGCTGGGGGTTGTAAAAATAAACTCTTTACCGCCCACAATAGCCCTAAACACAATAAAGAAGGAAAAAGAATCGCTTAATTACTACATAAAAATATAATGTTACAAAATATCTGTTAACAAAATATAAAACGAAAAAGTATGTGTATTTTTTATTCTTCCATGTATTATAGAAAGCATAATTGATTGATACATGGTCATCTTTTGTCATAGTAAATACGTTTATTCTCTTTAATGTTTACCAACATTTAATATTCTTTTGTTGAGCACTATCTAAGCTTATTTATATCTGTTCAACTAGCTTAATAAATCCTTAATTCAATTAATTGTCCCAAACACAAGAGCTAAGCGGTTTCTTACGAAATTCACGCTAAATTAAGACATTGTTGTAATAAATTTACAGCTGCTGGGCAGCTCGCGAAATGATTCCAACTAAGGGGAAGGATTCCTCTACCAGGATAGGGCGGCGTTGATTTGAAAATTGATCAGGCTCTGGGTTATCATCAATGGATATACATTTGAATCTATTCCAGACTCAAGTACACGGTTATTTTTCAAAGAGTGTTGATACTACTCCCGCTTTTCGAAAGCGTGGGATAGAACTTAACGAACGCTTTTCTTTAATATTTAACCGATTTTGGAAGAGTTCATTGACCCGCGAGGTTACAATTTGTGTGTTTTTCATTCGTCATTTTGTAATTTACAGGGCCCACGGTTTAACCGGTTGAACTCAGTCGGCAAATCCTCTTTTGGCGATAAGGGGACAAAAAGGAAACCGAGACTAGCGGTAATTAGGATTAGGATTGCAACTGAGATTGGTGGAACGTTTCAAAATCAGCCCCTCGGGTCGACCGGCACAAGCAGGTAGTCGTCCGCGGGCCTGGCAGACTTCTAAAAACTAAAATACGCTCTACTTTAACTCAGTAAGAAAGAACAACAATGCAATTTCAAAATTGAACATTTACCAAACCCTAAACGAAAAGGGTGAAAAGTTAACTATTCTAACCAGTTGCAAAAAATATTTTTTAAAAATGGTTAAATAAGTGTGTAGTATTTAGTGACCGTTAATTAATGATTATTTAAGGATCGTGAGATCAGAAAAACATTTTCTTTATCGTGCGTGCGTTTCGACCTTTATTGAGATCTTGAGGGCTCAAAGTTTGTGCTTTCTGTGTAGATGTGTCGTGTTGAGAGTGTTTGATACGGCACACAACCGTAACACATGTACACAGAAAACACTCTCTGAAAATGATCTCAATAAAGATCGAAACGTTGGCACGATAAAGAAAATGTTTTTCCAAACCTACATCACACCAGACCACATCGCACGACCTCTAAATGATTATACAATTCATACAAAGATATACTGCCAGGTGAGGTTATATTTTATAAAAAGAAAAACAAAAAAGCTGAACGATTTACTTATACAATGTTTTCTACGAACACCTTTTTGTTAATTCATATTAACCTTCTTATCTTTGAGGTGGCCAAGCGGTTAAGGTGGCCATTCACGATCGCTCCAAGCAGTCCAAACGGAGCGACGCCGTTCCAAAAACCACGTCAATGGCAAAACTGAACCGGCGTGCCCGGCTGTGCCGAATATTCGACCGGTCCAAACTCCATCGCGCCACTCCAAATATCTACGGCGCGTTCGTGAATGGGAAAACTTGGCATGGAGGGTGGAATATTGGAGCGCTGGCTTGGGAGTGAATTGGAAAACCCGCGTTTTTTTTGGCGCAGTCTCCATCTTTCTGTCACTGAGCAAACATCTCCGTCGTACAATCTCAAAAAGTCAAAAACGTTTATTCTTTATTGGTAATGACATCCAATCGAGATTTTATTGTTGAGGTGATTGAATTGAATGAAAGTTTACCATGTTTATGGAAAGTGGTGGACAATGATTACCACGATAGAAATAAAATAAATTCTGTCCTCAACCAGTTGGTCGACGTTTTCAAAACAAAGGATACAAATGCAATGAGAGATGAGGTATTGATAACCCCTAACAATGATCAGAAATCGTAGTAGAGAATTTAAGTT